TCAGTCTTTAAATTAGAGGCAATTAATTCTTACCATAGTGTACTTCACATTCAAGACTCAAAGCAAAGCTGAAGTCACGTAGTAGCTGCTGAGGGACAGGGGATATCAATACGGAAGTTTAAGAGTAACGGGGCATCCGAGTATAAGAGAAAACTCGGTGGACATGAGCCTAAATAAATCCGTTTTATCATGGGAGTAAATCCACGACTTGGTATTTGGGTCGTAGTCAAAGCGTTTGGGCCCACTTGTCGGGGAGGAGAACCAAATCTGTTTATTGAATGACTGTTTATTGATCACGTAGGTGCCGTGTTTGTCTCCAAAACATATATTCAGCACCCCATCTGATAGAGATACATCGAAGTCCAGCCCAACCTCATGACTATCCGCAAGATCTTCAACGGCCACTGCAAGGTAATCAAGAGTGTACTCAGCCAGCTTTTCGAATTCGCTGGAGCCTAATTTTGAGTCAGGACCCTTGAAAACAGATGGAAATGAAGTTAAGGGCCGTGCGAGTTGTGGATGGAAAGCGGCCAGTTGGCCAAGTGGTGGGAGTGTCCATAGAGCACAGAAAATACGCGGAAGTTTGAGTGCGCGTCGGAGCATCGCTGAAAAGTAAGCAAGATGGGGAGTTACACAAGGAACAAGGACTACAGTCTCAGAAAATTTAAGTGATAAACCCCAAGAAATCTGAGTGATCTCATGATGTCAACTGTGAAACGTGTAATCAGTTCGAGATAAACCCGCCCTCTTCACCCTTAATTTTTTTCCAAGCTGGCAATCAAGTCCGCCGCAGCTCGCAAGGCTGAAAGAATGTAAAATAGGAGCTAGGAGGAGACGGACCTGTTGCATTACCGGAGGGGTCTAGTGGCCTATGTTGCATCGGCCGAAGGATGGTGCATTCAAAAAAGACACGGCCGGCTACGATTTGCTGGATACTAGTGTGTCCGAGTTGAGGTCGGTCGAAAGGCTGTGAGTAAATGTGTCTGCGGTTAGGTGTTGGTGCTGTTTTGCCGCAGAAACCCTTGTAATGAAATCTAAGCGACCAAAAGTTAAACGAATTGTGAAGTAAACAAGACTGGAAACATTATTGCAGTCGGCCACAGCTCGCAGAGACTGGAGTACGGCCACTATATATGTTCCCATTCTAGACTGAAGTTCGAGTAAAAAAACTCGAACAGAAGAATAAATGCGAATAAGGTAGTAAAATGTTAACAGTGTGAGCGTCTACAGCTGGCGAGAATACACCAACTCATAGGTGTGACTGCAAATAGCCGGTTTCTGAGGTTAATACTGTTGAATTAAACGTGGACGGCGTATTTGTATTCCGTGTCGGGATTGTTGATTCGAGATAATATATGCCGCTAGCAAGATATCGGGATGTTGGCATGACCATGTCGACGGTATGGGAATTTCTGCCGCAT